ATATATCTACCTACCTAGACGAAGATAATCTCTTATTCGAGTGCTGCATAAAATCGTCGGTATAGTATGGCACAATGTTTAGTAGTAGGATAATGGCTGAGCTCAAAAATCTGAGCGAAAACATCTGTGACCAATTCTGTATGTCGGTCAATAAAATAAAGCTATTATGAATTAAAGCTACACAATTCACAGATTTCTTGATTGAAACTCCACGTTTTCACGTCACGTTTTTCAGTCGAATATGAAAGCAAAGGTGCTGACGCAGTTGGGAGTTAATAAGGGTATTCGACATTATTGTTGCTGGTAATTGGACTGCCGTCACGAGTAATCAAAGCTATTCTACCCGTGTACAGCGACCAAAAGGACCGATCCTTATGCTCGTCATTCATACGATAGGGACACTCGTCTTTACCTACGATAGTTTTCTTTAAAAATAAGATCTATCAAAATAGATATCTGAACGAATTGACGCTATGTTGCTTCAATGTATAATATGGTCTGTAATAGTGTATATGAAAGCCATTCGTCATTGCCATGTTTGACTTCATCAGTACTTTACTACATTTCCGTATGTCCGTTGTTCAAGTTCGGTGCGTTTGTTTCGTACGGGTAAAATGCTACAGGTACTATTTTTACCTGAATAAGCTTCTCATTGTTAGTATTTCTTCATATTGAAGCTAAATCTCACATCTCACCTCTATTGCGTCGTAATTTTTAATGTGGTTAACCGTATATGATGATAGTGTCTTCATACTGTGCTCTTACAGAAAGCAAGGACTGGGGCAATGCACAGCAACGTGCCTTTTTTACATGAATGGTGAAACTCCCCCTCAAATACTAGGAAAGCTTAAATGTCGTCAGTGCCATATCTATCGCTGAGCTCGGCACGTTGAAGATTTACTACTGTCCGCCTTAATAGATTAACTGATAAAGAACATTCTGCCAACATTCGGCTTATATATATCTTCCTATCGATCTGTTTGCAGAAACGTTTCGCATCATGCTTAGTTAGTCATCATGGCGGAGGTGGAAGCGCCCCGAACAAGGCCGCAGCCATGCTTTGATGCTGCCGTGTCAGAGATGGAGGTGGGGGCGTTTCGTTACCTTCGGCGTGAGCTTCACGCCGACTTTTCATTCCTGACGGTGGCGCTGCGTGAGGGTGCCTCCGTTTAATGTGCTGCTCAAGATTCCACATCTGAATTGCCTTATAGCTACAGAGAGTGCAAGCGTATGGGCGTTCACCGGTGTGTGTCCGCCGATGGCGAAGAATTGTGTGCCGGTTATTCGACATGAACCCGCAGAAGTCGCAGCTGTACGCCAGGCTACCATCAGCCTGACGATGTACCTGAATCTGTTCGGAGCCAGCTGTAGTAACGCGAGATGTCGACGTGCCGGGAAAAGCGCTCATTGTGTATTGCCTTGCTGATCGTTGAACACTGGCCGACGATGGTGATTGGGAACGGGCTGCTAAAAGTGGAAATTTAGCGCTGAGCGACTGCAACGCCAGCGATGCAGCCGCCGCGGCGGACGTCACTGAGGACGCGACTGACGAGGGCGAGGAACCAGTCGCTGACGAGCACGGCGGAGTCGTCGAAGTTGAGGGTTTGTGCAAGTCCATAGGGAGGTCGTGGGATAGAGCGGAATTCGAAGACGACAGATGGTCACTATTGGACGAAAGTTGGCTGGCCAGCGAGGATAGATGGTGGTGTCCTGTAAGACCAGACAGGCCGGCAAGTGCGCTTAAAGGATTTGTCGACTGGGGACTGCCATCGGATCCACTACTAACGGCAGCAGCGGCGGCGGCCTGATTCGCCATTAAGGCGGCCGCAGCCGCTGCAGCCAATGGGGTCGCTGTCAGCTCATTGTTGCGCAGGATCAATCGGAGAAGTGCTTCGGAATCTGAAAACATTAGATAACAGTAACGTTAAAAAAGACCCGATATAAATATTTCGCCGTTTCTTTGTTGTTTGGAAGAGTCGAGTTTACGAAACACTGATCCAATTGGACCGTTGGAAGAACACACCGCGGAGTGTACTATTTAGCACTGCCACTACGCCTATCCACGGGGCAAGCGTATGCTTCCTTTCATACCTAAATGTATGATCGTAGATTCTCTCAGTTGTTGAATTTCAAATTCTTGTAATACGCGAATCTTCCAATTACAAAATGCTCCAGCGTCCATCGTAGCTCTGGATTCCGTTGCGGCCCTTAGTACAGAGCTTATAATAATAAATAGGAAATAAGATGGTCCGCCACGAAACTTTTAAATAGATTCGGTATTTTAATAAAAATCAACAACTAATCATGCATGTGAGTTCCCTTTTTTGCTGTTTGTGCCGTATGGGATACTAATGTAAATCAACTAGCATCACCAAAGTACGTGAACAAAGGAGCTGAGTAACGCTTACATGGGCGTTCGGCAAATAGCAACCAACCCTATGTTCTCACTAACAGACTATCAATAGACCATCTACAGCGACAAAGGGCTACTAGGAACTACTACTTACGGTAAAGGGACCTCTTTCGTTCGGTTGTATAGTAGTAGCAGTAGCGGCAGCAGCAGCAGCAGCAGCAGCAGAAGAAGAAGAAGAAGAAGAAGTTTCAGCCACGTCTTGCGTAGTACGGTACGGATAGAAGGATTTCAGGCAACACCTTCTTGGTTAGATCCGTTACTTTCTGTGCCGTGCGCTCACATCAATTCAAGCTGACAATCGACCCCGCCCGCACGTACTATAGAAGCTCTCTCTGTTTAAACAAGTTGACTCTAAAAAAGCCTTCTCTTGGCCGGAAAAAAGATCTCTTGGCCTTTTCAGTGAAGGCGTCAGAGATGCAGCAGTAAACTAGCAGACGCTTGCGACTTTTTTGAAAAAATAGATAGGAATATTTTTCCCTTGCAGACATCAGCCGATAACTTTTCTCCCCCACCACCACGAGCACCGTCGATTATTTTAGTTGCTTTGCGGTTAGGTATCTTCATAGCGCAGTTAGCCGTGCTTGTTGGACCATGTCGCAATGCATCATTTCAGGACCACGTTCGATCGGCCGATTTTTTTTAGTTTTATCCACATATCTCGCCAGCACTATGATTAACAGTTGAGAGGTCGCATTAGCTGTATAGGTTGGATGATTGGTTAACGCTGTTGGGGTTACGGTGCAGGCAAAAAGCAATCTGCAAATTTTGCTATTGATCATTGTTGTGTTAATAATTGTTTCTTCACTGAGCAAAGCAGTCTCGGCGAGACGGCGAAAAATTGTCTCGTGAAATAAACACTTTGTTTGTACAAGCTTACGGAACACGGGTAGGGTTTATTAAACATTTTTATGATTTATTATCATTATTATTATGCTGGTATTGTGTGTTATTATATTGATCTCTAAACACATTCGGTGATCATTACCACGCACACGTTTGTCTCAACGTGTACATATATGTATGTATATATATGTAGGTAATACTTCTGTCAATCAACGGACCGCTCTCTTCATCATCGAATCTGTTGATAGCATCTTTTACGATGGAAATGCTGTGATCACTACGAACAAATCAGTCTTTGCTTAAAACATGTCTATTAGATATGCTGTAATATTGTGGGCTCTGGGCTTACAGAACATTATCAACTTCGCGCTAGGGTAATACACACGGGGGTTGGGAGGAAGCTAGTTATGACATGTGCGGAGGTCTGGATATGGCTAGTGAGTAAATAAGGTGGGGCGGAAAGTGTCCTAATCACGACTCAATATGTACCTAATCCCAGACCGTGCATCGTCAGTGTTCCATATGATACACCAAGGGCATTTCATGCTGGGTAGGGCACACAGTATCGAATATCTGAAACGAGATAGCTACGTTAGTTAAGTTGAACGCTCGATTTCACCACAGCATTAACTAGCAATTATTATCACTGCACAACATCCAAAACATTGATCCTAGATTTTCCTATGAACCCATTTTATGGGCCATTATTGACCATCTACGATAAGTTTGTCACGTAGCTTTCAGTTAAGGCTTTACGAAAGCCTTCGCTAAACCCTAGACCGCGAGTGCTTAATTGTGTTTGACGCTTGACGACGATAGCAAAGTACGTCTATTTACGACAGACGCCAGCAGTTGGTCATTGTTCATGGGAAGTCATCTCATCAAGTGTCAGTGTGTGAACAGCCGATAAAGCAAGTCATAGAGATCCACTCTGAAGGATCTTTCGTCTCGATAGAATTCAGATTACTCTGCTATATCATCGTATATAAGCAAAGCTAATAGATGGTTGTCAACATACTGAAATAAACTAGGGAAATACTGTAGCGTAACTGCTTGATGTATTTTAGTAACAAGACCTACTATCGATGGCGCATGTCTCCGATAAGTAATGCCCAAAGCGGCCGATGACACACAAGTTGGCTATCCAAGGGCAACTTCAAGTATCGTAGAAGATTATTTTGTCTGCTAGCTATCCTCGTACTGCTGATACACAATTGTCATTAACAGATTGATCAAAAAAGCTAACGTGCCCAGAATTTGCCATGAAGTGAAGCTGTGTTATCCGGCCGCTTCGGAAAAATGACCAGGAATTTTCATGTAATTAGAATAAAAACACCGTTCTTTTTTCTTTATTATCTACAACATCCCTATATTTTTTATTTGTCATATATATATATATATATATATATGTAGAATATATATATATATATCATATAGATATGTTTAGAACTTTCGATTATTACGGAAAATGCTGGAATAGAGGTATCTGATACACCACCTAGCCCTGTTTATATAAGATTGATCATGTCATTTTTCAAAAAGGGAGACTGAGAAAGATGCTCCGAATTATGTTTGGTAAAGTATCCTCTATAAGATAAATGCTCCTTGTCTCTCTTAGTTCTACTAAGAGAGACAAGGAGCATTTCTCAATATGCAGACAATATACAGAAATATAGGATAGCAGTAGACCACTCATGTATTTATTGACGTCTGCGACTCCGTTGTAAAATATACTAAGCAAACGGAAATCGTCAGACAACGACCGTACAATATACGCGTTACGCTTTAGCACTTTCCACGATACATCGTAACGATGGCGACTAAGTTATCGAGCAGCACCAAATGGACAGAATCAAACCCGTCACCGGCCGTGGAATTGATCTCGCTCGAAGCGCCTTTATATACGAGAGCTCCAGTGACGTAACTTGAGCTGCCAAAGGCGAAAGAAATCAAATCGTGTTCGAAGTGTTCAGTTAAAATGCCACCCAAAAATGCGTATGACAGAATAAAAACAAGAACGCCTTTTCGAAACACACATTTGCTAGTTGCCTTCTGAACACGTCACCGAATCACCTCATCGTAACCTCGGTTCATCCCCCCTAGCACATCGAGAGCAATAAAACAATGATATCTTGAACGAGTGCTCTATGCTCAGATAGCCACAAAGCTTCGTGCCTGAAAAAAACCACCGTTACAGATATTATTACGTCTACACGGACAATGTACAAGGATACTATACAAAAATCACCATGAAGTCGGTGCAAGATTTGAACCCGACAAACATCGAGAGTTTCTCTTCTGTTCCTTCTACGTTTTTAATTATGTCGTCGTCTCATGACAGTTCGGTGCTGATCGCAGCACGTCGACTGTGGTGATCCTATAAGGCTCGCGGATTTTATGCGTGCAACAATTCTCCGTCGCAGGACTTCTAGGACCCGGCTAATTCGCGAGCTCATTAAGTCGCCTGCAAATCAACGTAAAAGCAACGAAACATACTAAATATACCGCACTGGCAACAGAGACAAAAGGAAACAAAAAATCGAACGTGAAAGAACGTATGTTGCCATTTACATATAAATATAGATATTACGAATCCGTGTATAAGCTATAGTACAGTACAATCTAGACACGACCAACCTTTGCTTGCGGTATTTGATTCCATAAGGTAGCTGTTTATTACAAAACAACTTAATGATCATCGGAATCAAAGTTATTATTAACGACTTCTTTACGGCGGTCAATAACGATACAAAAAATGAGTACGACATCGCCGGAAAACGAGTGTCCTTGGCAAAAATTCATTGTTGAAAACACGCGCCCAAAAGCACTACTCGATGAAATTATTGTTCGAAGATATAGTAAAACACTTTTCGAATTTTCCGCGTTGATAGTCCCGAGGTGACGATGTGAAGCTTGTACATAATCAGGACCACCTGTAAATAGAATTTAGGTCAGTTGAAAGATTCCAATGGGAAACCGCGCAGTTAGCGCTGCTGTCACAGTCAGCGTACGACCATATATTTGCGAAAGCGTACAATATACATGTGTAACGATCCTTAATACGACGCGTGACTCAGCCACTGAACTCTCATAAATTTCGTGGCCGAGTGAGCTCGACAACCTCACCTGACACTTTAGTCGAAACAAAAAAAATCTTACACTGTTTTATAGAAAAACATGAATTACGGGGTGGGTTGTAGCAAGCCGCTTGGGTTAACATTCTCGGTGATTCTTATCACGCGAAAGTATGGCTACTACTCTCCAACGAGTTATCGGATGAGATTTGTCTGCGAGGACGAGATCATATAGCAGAAAAGAATCCATAATAAAAATATTCTTCGACAAAGGCACCCTGTACATTATCGAATTGTTGCACCGTTTACTATGTGATGCAAAATTCACTTCGTTAATTCAGTGGCTGACGATATTTGGTCGTCAGAAAAATACACTGAATAGTAAATTTCTAAGTAAACCGCCAAGGAGAGCACCATCTCACTACGTAACGTTGACACTGAAACACAACGTAACGTTCGAGAGAAATGCGGTTCTACGAAGTGGAAAAATTGGCTGGTGGATATGGCTGGCGTCTCCATGGCGTGTTTCATATATCGATTACGGGGCAACTGAGAGACCAGTAATGACCAGTAAAATCAGTAAAAAAAAAGTTAGACATTAGGGTAAGGTGTATATTCACACAAACAGGGGAGTTTCAGAGGCCTCCTGCTAAACAATGCTAAGAACTACTTTTGATTACATAGGAGTGATTTAATTATTTTGGCAGTGAAATGTATACTACTACAGTGTAAATATCGTAACACCTATGTAAGACGAAGTAAACTTACCGTAGCGTGCTCCTGAAAGGCTAGCTCGATCCGAGCATCGCGTCGTAAGCTGAGAAAAAAGACCCGAACAAAAACTGTCAAGCTTCTGGCAAAAAAAGAAAAAAAAGAAGTCCGACGAAAACCTGAAAGCGCGCAATTTAAAGATTGTGCCTCTGCAGTGCGCAAATACCCAATTAACCCGAATCGTCTCCTCGCATTAAACGCGTCCACCGGTATTAACTACTGAAGGAATACCTATTATGATGTAACAGTCAGCCTGCTATATATATACATTCTGCCTACATGGGGTATACAGGTAATGAAGGGTTAAAAGTTGATTTGGATAAGCTAGCCCCGACGAACTCAAATGATCAAATACATCGGACCCAAACAGGAGCGTTTGTTTTTCGAAAGTGGCATAACTATGCACTGAATCCACGGCACCAAGTTGTCCGCTTCCAGGGCGGCATTAGCAAAAAAATACCCTAAAACCTATGGTTTTACTAGGATTTAGCACAACATAGGCGTTGGCTCGAAGGCCCCTTTTTGACTTCGTCCTGTAAAGCGTCATAGACCGAACCGCACTTAAAACACGCTACTACCGGATTAACTTACCAACTTTGCTCTGTACCGGCACGAACCGCCGAAATATTTAATCTCCACCATCAGAAGCAGTGGCAGTCTTGGTTTGAATAGGTAATTGTTGGCTCGACTACTGGTAAATGGAATTTAGATGTTAGATGAAGCTGCTGATAGATCAGGTATCGCAATCAATGTCAAGCTAGGAATTATCACCATACACCGGCGTCTATGTAGTGTGTCATTGAAAATTCACCACTATAAAAGACCAGTATCTTAATTTACAGTCGAGAGTTTACATAAATGCGCCATAATATAACGTTCACGGTGGCATGCTCAGTCACCACGACGCCCGAGAAGCACTCTTCGTCCGTGGATTGAACAAATCATTTTACTACAATGCACCAGCTTGCGTTACGCGTGCACCAGTGAGCTAATTTTTCTTATAGGGCTAAACGATGCGCGACTCTCTGACAGTTTCAAACGTCGTGAAGCTACATGACGACCTGAGACTACGATAACCGGCCCGATGTTATAGAGTTTCTTGCCCCGGTAGATCTGCGACCACGATTAGAAAACAAAAAAAAATACGGCAGGAAGTGAGGGAGAGAGGCAGGGCAAATTCGGTAACTGTAGAGACTGCGGTAGTTTCTTGGCCGCTGTAGCTTCGCTGTGTTTTTACTCTATCAAATAGTCCATTCTACTGTCGCCATAAGTAGACGTCGTTTAGGTGATAGAGCGAGGATAAAAATCACAGCAGTGGCAAGGGGCGACAATAGCCTTGGCGGCTGTCGTAGATTGTGTCGGCATACTATGGCCTGCGTACCTGTCGAAAACCACTGACTGATCCCTGTAATGGTAGATCTTGTCGGGCCAATTCATTCAGCATAGGATGCTATCGTCGCTTCTACCGCGTTTACGCTCTGTTAAAAAGACGCGTACCTGTGACATGAGTTTGTACGTGTTTACGCCTAAGAAAAAGTCTTCGAAATAAACAACAACAAAGATCGACTCGCAAATTATCTTGTCCATGCGTCCCTCCGATAAGCCTCGATAAGCCATTTTCAACTTATAGTCAAGAATTTACGATAATGCTAAGGTGACTCCCACAGAAAAACTTTAACTAACCAATTAAACACTGTAGCGTTGTATGTAAACGGTTGCTGCCTAAATAATTTTTCATCGTTCATTATGAGCTGACCCTAAATCGAGGTGATACCGAAAATACACGTATATACCTATATACAACAACGCTTTATAGAACTGTGCAGAGTACGCACGAAATACAAGTGTGCAAATCCGTAAGGTACAATTACCAGCCATCCTAGCCTTTAATATCCTATCATCAATTAATGGCAAACGACAGAATCGAACCCACAAACGGCAATGCACAGAAACGGCTCTCTGGTGCATTTTATCTAAAAAAGCACCTACAAACATATGACTACGGTCAACCATCGTAGCAGATCCTTAGTGTCAGGGGGGTATCCAGTGACGGCTGTGTCTCTGTCAGGACGGGATAACCGACCGAGGGTTGATGAAAAGAAATGGAGGGGCCGGAAACAGTCGACTTCTGTTCCCGCTGGCCCGACATCAGTTCGGAACTACCCGACCATCCCGAGCAACTAAGATCCTTCGCATATAGGCAAAAAAAACACCAGTTGTGGTAATAATAGGAGCTGGTTACCACTGCCAAAGACAACACCACTGAAAGCGAGCATCCGTATATATAACGAATTGGAACGGCCAAGCGACCAGACGACGTTGTTATTAATTATGCGTTAACTTTTCGGAGTTCGTTGAAGAAAAAGCAAAAACGTCCACTTTCGGTCAGTGATATAGCGTAGATACAGGAGAAATCGATCAACTGCGAAATTGTTATTAATTATCTATAGTTCGATTAGCGTAAATACAATCGGCCAATGCTCGGTCGGATAATATGTACCATGGTATTGGATGCCCTTAAAACAAAACCTGTTCATAGACTGAGACTGATATACACGTATCAAGTCAGAGCAGGTAGCGTCGAATACGATAAAAAATCACACCAGAAAAAAAAAACAAACCGACGCACGTAGTATTATTTCCCTCCTTTGTCGTTATTTTTATTTAAACTTATGTCGCTTGTTCGTTTGTCATCTAATAGCCAACATAACGGTAATATGCTTCTATTGTCGCCAACAGAGTTCACTGCGAGATAATTTTGCCGCACTCCTTTGAGACAGCGAAACGAAGTACTGCTAGTCACGGTATAGAACAACGCAGCAGTCGTGAACCTTTACCATCGTGTAAATCTGTTTGATGAGCTACTTGCGCTCGCTATCTCCTTCAACAAATAGGAGCACCATATCCCAGCCGGAGCTGAAACGGTTGCAGAGGCAACGGCTTCGATTATATTATTATTATTATCATAGGGGAGCGACATAAACTGGACCAACGCGCGGGAAGAAAAGGTGCCCGTCTGCCCATCCGCCATAGGTTAATTCCATCCATTTCTCTTAGCTCTGTACCATAGGCTCACACAGGTCATGGCACTGTGCTGCTTGCTATGGATGTATGTGTGAAACTGAGTGATTGTGCCTGTATAAACGGCCGCATCAGCACAGAGTGGTACTGTAACAGTAAATGCTGTTACGAGAACTGGCGGTACGTGCCTGAACTATATTCGCATGGCCATAGGAGCCTGACCCACCCAAATAGCAGACGTCTTTCGGTGACAGAGGCAGCAAGCACCCCGCTGTGGAGTCGAGGAGTCCACCCCATTTCGGAGGAACAGCGGCTACAATGGCTGTGAAAAATCGCTATTGTGCCACGATCTGGTCTCTTACTTGCGTTCTATAGCTTTTTTTTTGTACAATAATCATGCTAGACGTAGCTACAATACTATCCACGAAGAAGTCTTGGGACGATGCGAGAGACGTACGAGTCCCATCAACTTCGATGGTTAAGGTTAGACGAGTGTAGCGTCAACGTGCGTGATCGCTTTAGAAAAATACCGACGGTACCACTGTGTTTGTTGCGCCTTCAATAACGTTTACTTTAGAAAAACAGAGGCACCTCTAGATAGGTAATGTGGGCGCAAACGGGATCCTTGCAAACAAAACGAATCTGCTGCGGCCAACGGTGCCATTGGAGGGCAGGAAGAAGATAGATTCTTGTGCACCACTTACTTCTACTTTTCCACAGGACGATAGACTGTTAATAGGCACAGACAATGAAAAGTAGGATCTAAGCAGCAGAAACAACGATAACAATAAGTGATCATAACGCTTCCATAAAGCGTATATTGTTCGCGCAAAGACGCACATATCCTTATAATAGTATTAAAAAATCTACTGGCACTTGTTTGGTCCGCCCCTTTGTCAAAAGTCCTTTGCCTTTTGCCAAAAGTCCTTTGTGTCCCGTGTGATCTCTGCCAGAAGTGCGTTTGTTTTCACATAGCACGCTTCCCGAAGGCAACATCCATCGCGTAGATCACATCAGCTAATTCAATCATATATACTGTTCGGTTCGTTTATTGACTTCAGACGACTCGCCAACAATAATCGATCGGTAGCTAGCGTCTAGCGCTACCAAAGCAGGTCCCCCCAACGACAAATGCACGCAACCACATCAATAAACTTACCCTATTATTTGTTACGTTTGACCATCTTCACCCTGCCTTATCATCGTCACCTTCATCAATTTCCTACACTCACTTCTTGACTTTACTATTTTTTCATATTTCGTCGTATCAATATAATTATTCTCTTGTTACTTTCCCCTAAAAGAACAGTTCGCCATGCCACGTCGAACGACAAAAACCGGTTGTTACCTTTCGCCTTTATGTTAACACCTACTGTCAATACGGCAGGTTTTTTTTACCTGGGTTTTCTACCTGAGTTCCTCTTATGCAGGTATCGATTTAACTATATGTTTTTCATTTATATTCTTTTGGTTAGTGTCCGAGCAGGCGTTTCGGACAAAGCTGATTTTGTCGACTCACGATTGCTGCTGGCGTTTTGCCTTGCAATGAAATATGAAGTTTCGAGCATCGGTGAGGTAACCAGCGCCTGTCGTCTGCCTACCTCTCCATCTGCTATTTGCCGGGATGGTCACTTAGGAGACATCTGAAGAAACAACTGCTGGCCAACGATAGTCGCCACTGCCACGGAATCGTTGCTACAGCGGCGTCCGCAGCAACGGCCATAATCAGTCGTCGAGACGCCACTGGCTGCCCAGTCAGTAGTGAATTCGACGACTGTGGCAGAAAACGCGCATGGCACGAAGCGCCATAAAAGTAACCGCACAACGGCCCACTGCGGCAGCGAAACTTCCATAGGTTGCGTTGCTACGCTGACTTCTGTTTCTCCTCCAGCGTTAAAACTACTACTGCTGCTGCTGCTGCTGCCGCCGCCGCCGCCGCCGCCGCCAGTACCGCTTTGGTTCGGGGCCAATCTCTGGCGTCACCCACCTCCCACGTAATAAAACAGCAGCAGTAGTGGCAGCAGCAGCGTTCGTTACGACTCCGACGCATTAGCCGCCGGCGAAGCGAATGCTGCTGGTGTCGTTGCCGTGCTGCAGGGCTTCTTGTAATGCTGTTATAATAGACCTAAGCAGTTGCGACGTTATGCGCAGTAAAGGTGACAACCTGACTTCGTTAACGGCGCCGCCGCCGCCGCCGCTGCTGCTGCTGCTGCTGCTGTTGCTGCTGCTGCTGCTTCTGCTGCCTTCGTTCTTTCCTATCAAATATGTCGCCATTACCGAGGCTGTCCTTCCATTGTGCATTTACTTACCCTATAATGGAAATCGCGTAAGCGGGCAACAGACGAAATGCATGAACTCTGTATAACTAACTGCTGTTTTTGAATTGCAGCAGTTGACGGCTGTGAACACAATAATAAGCTGACGCTACGAGGAAGAGGCTAAAGGAAAGTCGGATAGACCGAAGGAGCTTCGAGAAATGACGGCACCGAAAACTCTTACTGCTACAGTTGTTACAGCTAGTAACTAACTAGCCTTGTGTTTGCCGTTCATTCAAACGGCAATTGCATACAGCATTGACTACGATGAACAGCCAATGGACAAAAGGCCATTGTAACTACTCTCATGCTACCGCTGCTGCAGCAGGACGAGTTAGAGATCAGCGCGCTTGCTACGCAGTGTTCCAGATTTCGACCAGCCTCAATAAGAGTAATCTCACTAAGCGAACAGACGGTACGATTGGCCTCGAACAAGAAGGCTCCTGCCTACGTCTTCCACAGCTGCAACAATAGCAGTTGTCGCATAGCAGATGGCCATCGTTACCATTATCACAACCACCCCTCTACGAGTACTTCTATAACAGTGTTGCAAATGTTGTTATCAATTATTGCCGTATGATTTCTACTGCGATTATTTTGACCACTGTCTTTACTTACACAGTCCGTTTTATCATCAATACGCAATCACACACAATCAGAAGAATACAAATCAGACTGCACAGGTCGCGACAAACTGCTCCGTAAACGTAACGGGTAATAAACACACCCGTGCTGATAACAAAACACGTCTTGCCGTGCTGTCTCAAACTACGTATCTATTAGACGACTACAATATTTATGTGCAACTGTAACTGCGGCCCTTCGCCACGTGAATGAACCGACGTTCCGTGAGACTACCGATGCCGCGCCACAAGCTTTCCAGCGGCAGCAGACATATAGCGCGAGCGGTTCCTTCCCTTCATTTTTCCGTCGGTTAGCTCTCATTCGCGCACAGTTGAAGCCAGAACGATGGTGCGACATCGTCAAATACTCGCCGCTAAAGCCGCCTCACCTGCCAGTGCCTTCGTCGCTGCGAGCGACATCGATACCGGCAGCAACTGTTGCTTTAAGATGTCGAGTCACGCCATTATTGCAATACATTATAAAAGTAGAAATAATTTTGGTCATAGTAGTACTTCTGCTACCCTGATAGTGGCAGCCATTTGCGTGGGTTGACCTACAGCCTTGCTCGGCTGTTCTTCGTCCGATTCAAGCTGCCTGTGCCACTGCACGAAAAATTTGGCCTGAGTAACCCCGCGCTGGTGGCAGTAATGGCGACGAAGTCGAACAGATCCCGCTGTCGCATTTAATGCATTTAGCCGATAATAGCTGAGTGGGAATGCCTGACAAGGAAGTGATTGACGGCGGTGTACTGCCGCTGCGACAGCCGAGTATGCTCATGTGTACGGCGCCGTGCAGTGGTAGTAAACACCTGTTGCCACTGTCTTACTCATGATCGTTATCAAGCAAATAGATGCTGTAGGCAGACACAAAATTGAATGGCTACAAATGCTTCTACGGTGACAACGTTCGACAATCTGGCAATCCTTACAATCAGAGCCCGCTCGTGGTGTGCACACTCGTCACGATTACATTCACTAAACGAGCGGCGGTGAACAAGCTCACGCCGATTACGACAACATCCTACCAAAGAGACCAAAGTCGACAAATCCCTTGCCTATATATTTTACCAGTGGATCTTTGACTATATGCCTTGTTTTTCCTTGGGGTAAATAGAGCTCCTTCGTCTAAGCCAGATGAAGCTCATCCGTTTCGAACAACGAAATGGACAACGCAGTAAACGTAGACGCACACCCACTCAGAACCAACCCTTCAAGCATAGTAAAATAAGTTAGTTTGTCATCGACAAAACTTCATCGTACCGCTTAGTATTATTGTTTAGCGCTTCCTCGTCGCCGGTCTTCGCACAGCAATAACAAATGCTTGTTCGTCATATTTCCACGACACTTTCGGTTCTGTCTACTTGCATCTATAACACTTACCCGCTATAGATGTTTTTCTACCAATACTGTTAATTTATATATATATAAATAATATGTATATCAAGTTAGCTAGTACTATTGGTCATCAGGATAGCAAACTATTTTTGGCAGTAGCATTGACAATGGTGATGCGATTAGGCTTAACCCACATCGGTCACTTGACATTCCTAATTGATGTCCTTCCTGTTACTTCAGCAATGGTCCGTAAGGTAAGTACCAGACACCGTAGCTTAGTATTGTACAGTTAACTCTTTGTCGACTCTCTGTTTCACGGTAACAGTCGTGAAAGCAGGCAGTAGAATATACAAACAAAGGCATTTCCACCCCAGTAGCGCACCGTAACTCATCTACTGTGCAGGTCTTCAGGGTCGAATTTTCCATCTTTCTTGGTTTACCGCAGTGCCTATTGCCATCATCATCAGTGTCGTCGTCGTCGCCCTCCGCTTGCCCATTTGTCAACCGTAGTATTTCTTCTTCAACGTCTTCTTTAGATGAGTAACAAGTGTGAAAACCAGTTTGCATGAGCAAGCGCCTCTGTGCTGCATGCAACAACTACTGTAGAAATCAACAGACAGATCTGGGACTAAACAGATCCAGCAAAGCTAGAGTGTTCGGGCACTCTTGCTGGCTGGGCAGGTAAAACTGCTGTGCTCAGTTCTTCCGTCTAAGCGATTGTAACGACAAAACCGGCTTACCGATCATCGCTCAGTCCATCCGTCCATCCGTCCGCGCATCCATCTCACAATTTGGCTGAGAAGATGACATAAGAATTAGGAACAAATGTGTTACGATACGCATGACGCGATTGCTGACGCAATAATAACATTGTTGTTATTCAGTCCACTAGTCTGAAGGGAAAGGAACACATTTTCATTTTCCTTTCGACGGCTCCAAGACTGTGCAAAACATTATAGTTTTCGAGGAGAGATCGCGCGCGAGCCAATTCTATGATGGGTAAAATGCAACGTCTCGACGACGTAAACGTTGCTGTTCTTACTACTGCTTCGATGACAGGTTCGATTTGCTGCCCTACTCGGCCATAATGATCCAAATTGTTCGGTATTCACGTAACAAAGGCGAGGCCGCAGTAGAAGGCTAATGGATACAAACAAACAAACAAACAAACGTCGTATAGTCACAGGGACAGCACGAGAAGGCGGTTTCGTCGCATCTAGACTTCGCCTAATCGTTCACTACTACGAAAAGGTACAAGTGAGGAATCACCGAAGGCTAGATTTCTCGTCTAATGAAGGTTTTGGAAACTTCCATCGGACGGCAGCGATTCAGTTAATGAGAATAGACCACACGGAATAGGATGGACCAGGCCGTGCACGGCCAGGAAACTCCGACATGATGGCAATAACAATTGGGACAATGGCGCGTTTTTTCGAAAAGCAACTTGCAATGTATTAATTGATCTGTTGGATGGCAGCCGAGGGAACTGTGTTCCTGAACACAGCGATGGAGGTCGTAATGGCACATGATGGTTCTATGAAAAAGAAAAATGCCTACCCTAGTTTTCGTGCGCTATGTTTTTGTCATACTTAATACATGCATATAACAGTAATATTCGTGACGTATTCGATTTTAAGCAAGTTCGCTCGATTATTCGATGTTGACCATAAATAATTATTACCTCCTTAGTTTACAGTTTACAGACTTCCCATCGGCAAAACAAGAAGGCTCATGCATTTTTCGTGTCGGCTATCGTCGTCCCCGCACAACCCCAAAACACGCGCAGCAGCAGCAGCAGCAGCAAGTAACTGGTCCTATTCCGGGACGATTCTACGAGGTAAGCACTTCTTCCTGGACAGCGCCGCTATTGGGGTACCCTGCTGGTCGCATCTAGTACTTCTGCGTTGTTTTTAACGCCGATAGCGCTGCGCGTGTAGCAGTTTCTAGTGTTCTTTTGGACAAATTTCTCTTTGCTTTGAAAACGACACGGCCCAGGCTACGACCTACGTGCGGCTGCAATCATTCATTACATCGCTTCGAACCCTGGCTACTACGGCTGTGCCGTTACCATTGGACCAGGGCTTATTCTAACACGCGTTCGTACACTGCAACACACAGCTGCCGTTGCCTCACAACATGAAGTAAAATCTAACCGCAATGCTCTGCTCTCCGAGCAGCTTCACCGCGTCATATACTTTAGGTTTTTTTAACTGCAGCGGCGTAATTGCCAACTGATAGCAACAACGACAGTAGCAGTTTAGACAAACGAAACTAACAAGCAATTTTTGCAGACAGTTGCTGCTGCAGCTGCCACTAGCGTTACAAGCAGATTACATATGGCTAGAGATTTGTGTGCCATCGCTTTGTTGGCCAGTCGACAGTTCGTTGCCGATATTGTACTTCGTCTGTCTTTTGTTCCTTTTTTCTGCCGTTTGTTTTCGTACAACGCCCATTGCCGTCGCTGCTGTGGCGGTGATGATGGCTGTAATAGTTGGGTTCTTGGAGCTGCAATGCCGCAGCGGCTCAAACTTCATCAAAGACCAGTAAGGCAACGTCGAGCAGTCCAAATACGGACAGCAATAACGGCACAGGTCCATATGTGTACGGTAATGGTTTTCCTGCAGACACTGCTGGCATCGAAGTCCGCCATGCCGTCAGTACCGTCATGCACTGGATTAGACTAGCAGCGGCACAGCATAGTTCAGCATACGCCACGATAGCAACGCAACATCACAATGGTCATGCTGCTGCTGCTGGCGATGGTTACCATGGTGATCGAAACTGCAATAAATGGTCGGTATTGGTGATGGGGCAAGAAGGCCGCACCGGCGGCAGGTAGGGAGGCACGGCTGGTCGGCCGGCCGCTAACGCTGTTGCACACCACACGAAGCGACTGACAAAACGAGCTGCAGAAGCGGATTTGTTCCAACTGGGCTAAAAAGTTGTTGTGAATCTGTACATTATGTGTGCATACGGATTTGTTGGTGATCTAAGCATCTATGTATTCAATGTGGCCCAGTTATTGGGAAGAGAGACAGCAACGAAATATATTATGTAAATAAACTGATAGAACCAAGAACTGCCTACGCTAATAATCTCTATAGAGGGTAGAAACGCGGTGCTAATATAAAATCCAATAAGGACAGATAATGTTCTTTTAGAGTATATCCACCTGCTTTATTTCCCTGGAGAATCTCGTTTGTCAAGTCTCGGTAAAACGATGCCGCGGTTATAGCGGAACTCGGCGCGTTGTGTTTCATCTAAATTCGTACTCACTTGATGGACGAAACTTGACTCCTTTCTACCATATATATTGCACTAGGCAATCGATCCTTTTCTGTCATACATATTGCATTTAGCAACCTTAGTTAACAAGCCATGATATCTGAACGTAGTTTTTTGCTCATTTTCGTTTGACATTTCCAGTTTGACTAAAGCGGTCGGCTGGCAATTCTTTGAAAAAAGATCTCGCAAAGCTCCCCGAAGGCCATATGACTCCTACAAAATCGTCTATATTGAGCTTACGATCGTGTACTGCAAAAGCTCTATCTACACTGTCTCTTATATATGGTTTTAGACTGCTATAAGGAGCGCTCGAAAAAGGAGTGCTTTACCACGACGCTAGCTATCGATGCCCATAACGGAGCTAAGCGATTTTGTTAAGGTGTTACTTTACATCAAGTAGCCCTGTAACCGGCAAGCGTTGCCGAGTCTACAGTTTTTTCATGTAAATTCAACTTAGATCAAACAAGCGCGACGGTCTATACATCGCTAGCACTATTTCCGACATTAATCTGCCTCATAGCTCGGCCCTGCTTGGAAGCATCATGTCGTTCAATTATCCAGTACGCCACTACATAGGCCAACCGATTGGTTACTCAATGAAGCATCGAATAGAAAAGGAAACGCGTTTGTCCAGCTACGAAGTGTCTGTACCATTGAAACGATATTAGGACTTCGTTAAATTTATGAATCGGTTATATTTTTCCAGAAGCCACAATCGGGACTTAGCCAACTCGCGTTAAAACAAACGTTGCATTTTTCGTTTTTTGTTGCTACGGTGTCATTCACATTCTGACAACTTCAGCGATATTCTCTGATATGATGTCCTTTCTTATTCATTGAAACAGCTGTAGACAATCCTAAGAACAAGCGTGTCATCCCCCAGCACCGAGCTGTTACGCAGCTAGGTAATCTGGCTACTAGTACTGGATTATCCTACAAGAAGTATGCCATATCTCTAACTAGCCCTAGCACTACCGCTATAGCAACTGATCATTCCAGACGAGTGAAGTTCGCTCAGTGCTGAGTGACGGCCGTTTTCAATCAAGCGTTAACTTTAAAGGCCGATCTGTCCTACTCGATTGACCTCGAGCTGTCGCTGGTGTTCCCGTCACTGAAATGATCAGCTTCAGCCGCAAGAGGCTAATTGATAACAAGCAACCATTAAGTAATTTACTCCACTGAGTCAATACGATTGGTTTAGTGGCTACACGCCCTGTCTCATGGAGCTGTACGTGCGGGGAAACTTTTATACCGTGTTTGCTCGATTTGTTCGGCGCCCCCCGCCTCCTTGTGACCAGAGAAAGTAGGCTGACCGACCGATAGCCGACGGCAGGTATCAGCCTGACACCCGCCATTGTCCATGACGGGACCTGTACCTAGTCTCCGACCCGTACTCGTCTACGTATACCTAAAGTAGGCATGAATGAATGTCGATCTAACGCTCATGGCAACGATGCTACGGTACAGTTATGACCATTCGACTGCGTTCTAGTCAGCTTTTAAACAGATAGATTTCTGAGTAACTGGAAATAGCAATATCGGCTGTAACCAGCTTGACACGAGGGCCCGCAGCCACCGCGGCAGACCTATACCTGTTTGTAGGCGTAGAGCTTTTGCCATGCGCTTCACGCATGTAGCTCAGGCTGTTGTGGCAGATATTTCAGCAAACAGGATCAGAGTTCCTTAGCCCATCGCACTTTTTGATGGCATCGTTCCCAATGTCCGTTCTGTGGACGCGACTCTCGCGGCTGCTGTCGTTATCGTCTGTGGCACACCGTAATAGAACCGAGTATTAAACCAGACCGGACCGACGCAGACGGCTCAGCCTCGCGGGACAACCCGATGACGGCAGCGCCACCGCAACTAGCTTAAATTGGTCAGAGTTATAAGCAAACGCCGGCTGGGTTCATTCACAAAGCGCCAACAGCATGGCCGCGTAGCCGGCAGTACCAACAACAATCAGTAACAGACGCCGCTACACAACATCGGAAGGCACAACGCTACGTCGCTTAGTTATATGGCTAGCGTAGCAGCAGTCGGCGAGCTGACGGGCAAACGTCACGCATCCTGTAGACATAGTTATGTATGCAATATAATAGCAAACCGATGAAACAAGCACATGTGTCGTTACGCGGTGAGTGGACGAAATGGCAGTATCCTGCGACTGTGAGATTAGCGCCGTGGACGCTGATTGACGCTATGAGACAAGTCTACAATACGCTGGCCAACCGTGCGTATAATATGAATAGCATGCGGTCGCTTCATATGTCTGTGGGGATTTTATATAATTATCAAGACAGATTAAAGCAGTGAACGGCGACATGATTCAACAGAGCTCAATAGCATTTATACCCGTAATTTATTCAAACTCAGTAGACTGACCGCTATATACATCGCTAAACAATTGAGCTGCTGGTGAAATACAATTTTCTTTATTTCGCATTATGTAAAACTAGAAAATGTCGAATGCAGGCAAGTCGGCACAAAGTAGAACGAGTGATGCTTCATGTCTTTTCTCATGACAAACATTAGCAAACAACTCGTTTCTCTAAGCTTAATCATCCCATATTATATAGTGTATTCTTGTTCCTACAGAAGATTGCCACACCCGCGAGAGGCAGCCAGAGAACTTACTTATGGATCAAGTAACCAGCACCAGCTGGTCGATGGCAGAAATGTAGCTTTTAGAGGATCCTAGGGACTGCCCTAGCATCCTTCGAAAGTTCGTTTGTATTGCCTCCATGGTCACCTTCTTGCTCCCCCCAAAACCAAATAACTTCGCCGCTCGTTTCGAGTCAGTTCCGTTACAATATCTAAGGAGCCCTGGTACGAAGTGGGAATGTGCTGCCTATCAGCCGACAACGACCTTAGTGAAAAGGCTCCCTCCGCAGAAGGGGTCCTGCAGGCCTGGTCGAAAACTCGGAAAAAAGTTCGGCTTGCTATCTATGCTGGACCTCTAGAGACAACAACTATATGGGAAACTCGTTGTTCGACTACCGAAAATCAAGAACCTTCGGAGGTGGAGAGAGGTTTCGAGGAAATACGAAGAACAAAGCTTGCTGGGGCTTGTTAACTGCCCCGCGACAACATACCCGAGCCGCATTTTCGTCCAGTGACCTCTAATTGTAAACACCGCTATCCCCGAAATCGTTCGCTCTCATCCTGCAGATAGCTCCTCACACCCTCGGCGGCGGTAGAACTTTTCGAAAACACGAATTTTCATCATTGTACCTAAAACCTATTCGGCACAGAATTGGCCTCCTCCAGAAAACTTTAGCCGTTGTTCGATCGCTCGCCTCGAGTGCTATGAAACTCAAAACTGCAGCCATCTGTAAAGCATTTGGAGAAGTTTCTTCAGTGCTTCGAACTGCTTCGGTACCGAACAAAGCTCTCCAAAAAGCCACAACAAGGGCCTTAAAACCGACGTAGCAAAGAGATATCCTACACACAGTCCCCCAGAATTTTCGTACGGGCAGTGCCTTCGGATCGATGAACAGTAATCTTAGTAGGCAAAGTATCTCAACGGAAGCTATCGAACGAAACAGATGCAGAACCCCGACTGCACCGACGGAGCAAATTGTGTCGATCAGCGGCCGCTGTTTAGCCTCAGTCAGTTGAAAGCTGACAGGATCCGGTTTGTTGTCGAAAGTACGACATCAAGTTCCACTACACAGCTTGAGTTCACAATGGCTCATTGAATAGTTCTTAAGCTTTTGAAGCAAATTAGTCCTCGAAGCGCCTAAGTCCTTCATAGATACTGATACTTTGTAATAGGTATTTTCAATATAAAATCTTGTGTTTATCACAAGCTTCGGCTCGCCACATATAGACATTTTTTGTTGTGACAACTTCTTGGCGCAACAATTTCTCACTAACGGTTCGCCGGTAACGGCTTGGCTCGGAGTAGATTCTGAGTCATCTTATCCATTAACAACAGAAAAACAGTTTTAGCTAGAGAAGTCAATGACCTGGCTAATCATGACCGCGACTATCTTTCTCATAAATACTGCATCTCTTTTTTGGCTTCTTACTTAAAACAATATACTCGTTTCTGCTTCACATCTGTACTAGGAAGAAAAATGCCCGTTTCCTTAAATTATCGTTTCCCATCCGCCATACACAGCACTGTTCTTTCGAGCTTGCAACAAATTCACACCTGAAACAATTCCAGGTTGGCAGTACGCCTGAAATAATGATACTGCAACACGTGAAGGACTCAACATAACACAACAACGTAAACGCTTTTTCCGTTGGACACTACGAGTATAACGAACAGTATATGAGCTCAACGGACCGTGTTACAAGCGAACGGTCAATTTTCAGGCTAGTAGATGCCAGCGACCCACAAGACGGGGCTGTATCGCTATGAAATCAAATGCTCACAATGATGATTGTATCGCTCGACGCAATAGCGCACCTGTGAAAGGACGCAGCATCAGGTAACCGATTCGAGAATACGTTATCGTCGTTTTAATAGAGATAAAAATGTAATAAGGCAGCGGCCGTGTTCAGCAGTAGCTGTTATCTTGGTAACTCGCCTGTTGCAGAATCGGATAAGTATCAGTTCCTAAGAAGCATATTAGGCATCGTAAAGTGTAACGTCAAGTAGCCAGCACCATATGACCCAAGCACGGACCTTTAGCCGGCCGTTGTGGCGAACATTATGGAATTTCATTATGAACGGATAATTTACACAAATACATCGATAATACACTAACCCGTTTATCTAACCTGCAAAGCCGCCTCGTTGGTATCATTGCAAGACACTTCGGCGTTCCTCATTCACGATACAATAATATGTCTATAGAAGAGGTCTCGTCATCGATGGCTACTGTCAATGGAACAAACGATGGTGTATACCGGTAAATGAAACCTAGTTAGTTCCATATCCTAATGCCAATAGCCGCTGTACCAGCCGCAACGGGATGCTTCCAACAGAGATATTCAGCATTTAATTTTCTTTTAAAACCAACCCGACTCATACTCAAACAAGGATATTAAATACGGAAAACTGCGTCGAGTTCAGTTCAGCTTTCCTATTCAGTTCTATTTCTTTCCACCGCCCTCGCCGTAGCCGCTTATTCATCGTCAAGTTACTCCTTTCTCTCACGAACAACAACAATAACGCAGCAGAGACGCACCCCGCGCTGGATGCCCATCGTCTGGACTAAGACCTAAACAGGCTTGGCAGTGACTGCTATCTTCGTTGCGGTCGTGCGTTTTGCACCAGTTTTTTTTCTCTCGGATTCTTCCTCTACCGCCACGACCATTTCCTTTTCCCCAAGTCTAATATTTATATATATATATATATATATGTATATATACAGAGTCATTGTGATGATGATTGTGCTGATTTGATGACTCGACGCAGCAGTAGCGGCTTCGGCTGTGACTCTGCCTCGGTCGTTGCCAGCACGCAGCGACAGTAGATATTCTCTGTCTTCTCTCTTGGCCATTCTGAGCTCTCCTACTCTCCAGTTGCCCACTGATGGTGACGGTTGTCCATTCGCGGAAGGAGCCCTCTTTGCAGGGAGCTACGGCTGTTACAACGACGACATCTTGTGGCCGCCGCCGTAGCGGCTGCTGCTTCTGGTATTGGCGACGAGTGTGACCCGTGGGGTTGGTGGCTGTTCCCTGTTACCTGTGCCTGGTGCGTGTCAGCGTAGCTCGTCATCGTCATCATCGTCGTCATCATCATCATCATCGCCGCCGTCATCGTCGTCGTCGTCGACTGCTGGACTGTGCAGATGAGAGTCAGTAGCAAAGCCAGCGGTGGCCTGTAAGCACAGGTCACTAACCCGCTGTGAGAGAGCTGACAGGCACACAAGCAGTGTTCGCCGGTACGACGACTAGTACTACGCCACAGTTGGCGATTTTCTGGCGCCGTCTCGATTCTGTACCGTTGAGCTCCTTACGCGAATGACAACAGCACACAACAGTCACCAATTAGGGCTAACGTTACCAGCAACCACTGCAGTCCTACGATTATTCGACCCATCTATGGTGAACCCAACAGGAGATCGACAGGCCAGCCTTTTCGCATAGGAAACGGAGGGCGAGCAAAGTGGCACAAGCACAGCGCGACCGTTGCGAGCCCATCATGATAATGGTGATGATGACAACAACAGCGACAACGCTCAAGTTGATGATGGCAATTTTGTTGGTCTACCACGCATTGGTTGGTCGGTAAGTCCGTTCTTGGTCCACGATAATGCAAAGCTCGTAGCACAAGAGGCGAAAAGGCCGAAAGCTTTGGAACGCTTGTTTCTACGATTGGGTTCATTTGTTGTGAGATGCAGCGCCATAGAGGGAGCGCCTGGCGGCGCCTAGTGTTCACCAGGCAACCAGTGAACAGGCAATGAATGCTAGCAGAGGGTTTAGCCGACGCTCATAGAAAAGACGATACGAAGGAATCGCTATTGCGGGCGACTCCCTGATGATCCTAGCATCGCTGTTGAGGATACTCTGCAGTCAGGTCAGGTCACATGCCACCAATGGCAATAACAGTAGCATGCCGTTTCCGGAACAAAAAAGAATAAGATCAAAGAGAGCAAAAGAAGACAGGCGCCCTTTCGGGGTTTTTACGCTCTACTTCGTGGAACCTGATAATAGAGTGACGACGATGACGACGGTCTCCTGCTCGTTGATGAGACTGGTTAAAAAGCGGACCGCCTTAGGGTTTAGGGTGAAGTGCACCTGAACTGCGTGCAATTACTGCTAGGACAACTAGCGCAGAGCCTTATAAAAAATAGCCACAAGAGATAGATATCTTCAAGTCGAGGGCGCTAACGGCTAAAACGGTCATCGAGGGAGATTTGTATGCGGATCTCCTTTCATTCCGTGGGATCACTACTATTCAAACAAATCGTTTCTTAGTCACCGAAACAGCCGGAGACATCACAGTTGATAGATAATGCCAAAAATACAATGTACGCACATTGGACCCGCAACCGCACATACAATATACGTACCGACGTGTACCACCAATTATGGTGAGGCGTTTTTATATTCAGTTAGATATTCATTGCCATTCTAAATCTCAATTTATTTAGCATTCCACGTACAATGACCCAGCTTCGAACTGGCAGCTTTACACATCTTTGTTTCTTCGATGCGAAATGTACTTGTAGATCAACGGCAAATTATAGTAGACATTTCAAATCTTCATTTCGAAGGTGGTTCCTGATGGAAATATTTCTGCTCCGTTTGGGCATCTATTCTACAGAACAAGCTCGGCTTCCCCCTCATTGCATTTTCCCATCCCAAGCAGAGCTGTGGACGCGGTACGACGACGCGTTTGTCATCGTGTACTATTTGCCAACAGCGTGCCCGAATATTCAGCTCTGCATACATTTGCAAAATCGCCACGAACCCAAAGCAGCGTTATTCTTTTCTTCCTGCTCATAGCAGCAGATCCTTCTCGGTCGGCGTTCCCGTGCGATCCTCGTAGCACCAGCAGCGGCCGTTGTGGCCGTCGCCAGGAGCAACCCAAATGCCGGTGAGGGACACAGAGTACCGCGATCGCGACCACAGGGTTGCTACTCTGCATGAGGCTTCGCGATGTCAGGTTCATCGACCTAGCAAGCTACAAGCAATAAGTGGAACCCACGAACGAGCCAGCGAGCGAGCGAGCAAGCAAGTAAGCGTCGTCTAGCCGTCGTCCGCCAACAGCCATCCTTACCATCAACAAGTATAATGCTTCTGTCATGAGCGTCGCGGCACCGAACATCGACCGGTCCAGGCCGCGTCTCCGAACTGCACCGTAGCATAACCGAACCGCAAAATCTGGAGGGGTTGTGCCGCTAGTGGCGGCAAAAAGGCAGGTATCGATTTAGCCTTCATCTTTCGCCTTTCGGCTCGCGCCTGGATCGCCTCTGATCCGCTTGTTTACTGTGAGTCGCTCACTCGTCGGTTGCCATGGTGACTCCATCCCAGTGCCGCTGCCGCCGTCGCCACTGCCGCAGCAATAATGTTAGAAGTCCGTCGCTGGGCCATTTCGCCTCTTCTGGCCATCACAGCACAGCACTAACGCCCCATAGGCCCGCTACTACTGATGGCGTATCGTACTATGTACTACTGCGACCGCTGTTCCGCCTAGTAACGAGGAACGTACTCATGCAACAGTTCGGCCGGTAACGACTGGCAGCAGCGTCCACCGCGGCGGCGTTTGTGGGGCTCAACGATGGGTTCGGTTCTGTATTGACCCTACACAACTAGCTTAATGCTACTGGGCAACACTAGAACAATCTTCAACAGGATCTGTTAGATGCGCGAATCATGCGTGGCGGCCGCTGGTCCCGCCGCAGAGACTCCGCGTTGCAAACAATTCGTCTGTTTCTCATCGGTACCAGTTCGCTACATCCCTTTATAAATACTATTTCGCTGGTTTCGCTGAAGTACTCGTATTGTTATTGTACTTCTCCAACAGGCAGATTGAAATTTCCATTGGCTTCGTTTTTATGGTGTCGTTTCGCTCTACCTGACGACAGAAGATCTTGTTTTCGACATAGGTCTCGCCTTATGCATGCACGTGCTCACATCGTTTAGGGCTGCTAATCAGGTCATATATTTTTAAAGCCAACATGTAACCACAATATTCGTTTCAATAACTCACGGTCAATCAGCTCAGCTTTCCTACATTAAACACATTCAATGGTATTATACTGTATTAGCGTAGCTATTCTTATTATTAAAACAAACAAAACAATTTACCACAGACAGGCTTTGAGGTTTTTTGGAACGTCGATTAATACGTAGCTCTAGGATCTAATGGTCATTTTTGCCTTCCAAACTAGGGAAACGCGTTCTATAAAGCGGGTTCGGTCCAACCCTACATGTTCCGAGACCTTCGTTTTTATACTTGCTCAATTCTTACTCTGAAAACCTGATGTGCTTGTAGTTTAGTTAACGACCTGATGCCATTTCATCATCGGCAATACGGAAAACATTCAAGGCGAGATATATCGAGTAGGTTTAGGTGCTGTTTGATTTGACTACGATGAACTGAAGTAGTAACGATCAGTGAACCGTTACTACTTCAGCTCATACCAACGCAAACAGACTGTCGATTGACTGCGGTGCTATCTTGACCCGTCACAATTTGTTTCTCAGCCTTACACTCAGCAACTGTTTACGGTGGTACCAAAAGGTAAGGTAACGAAAAGTTAACTACAGAGTGCGCGATTGAGTGAAATCAGTTCCTTTCAACACGAATAACGGGGATGTTCGATGTTGTTGTCACTCTGAAAGAGTCAACAGTGGTCATACAATACAGCTGTCACGAATAGACACGCGCCGATATTTTTTCCAGAAGCTCATGGTCAACGGAATGTACGTGGGTAGGGCGAAGTCAAGAAGCAAATGCAGAATTTTCTAAAGCCCAAATCGGTTTTTGCTCCTTTAAGCCTTTTCCCAAGGCAACGCACCTAGGTTAATTTCAGATATGGAACAATCCCCTGTGGAATTTATATTAGATATCAAAAACTGTTCCACCGACGACAAGCAAGTGATCCGCTTGAAATCATTGTTTCTAAGCGCGTTCTTTCACTCGTTATTATCAGTTTTTACTATTATAAGATCACGTTGCCTATGCGCCAACATCTTACTCGAAGCTACGGCTTAGTCTGGGTTGTATTCGTAGTTCTGAAACATCAGTTTCTGGCTTGTTCGTTCATTGTGCATTCTTCCAACATTCCCGGCTCGGCCCCATTCGTTCATTTAGACCGCGGTTGTCGACATCATCATCTCGACAGCCGTGGTGCGCTGCACATAGACGCGCTTATCATTCTTTGCCTCTGCTTACCCGCATTTTGCGGTTCCTGCGAGCAAACCAACTGCTGCTATTGCAAGTATACCACCACAGGCCAAACAACAACGACGTGCCTAGCTGCTTACCTAACTTTTACAGTCAATGCTCGCCTACAGTTAATTATAGCTGCTATTAAGACGACGATTATAACCAGATGGTGGAGCTGACGGATGCACGGCTCACCATGTTCCATTTAAGATGTTCTCCTGGGCTTCTACTTGGTGCCCGGCCGCTTCTTGTAGTTCTGCCCCAGCTTCTAGCAAAACGCTGCAAGAGTGCTTTGCGCAGCTTTCCTTGTCATTTGTTGGCCTCCTTTTAGCTGACTTCGCCCTTATTCCTGTTTTGTTCATTCGGTCAAACATTACTGTTACAGCACCACATGGGCTAAACCTGCGCCATCTACTATTTGAAACCGCTTAACGTTTTCATCACTGACAACTGCTAATAGTGGTAGGTGAGTTATCTACAGCTCTGCTGGTGATCTCGGCGCGCCTGTAGGACGAAGCAGAGTGATTCCTCCTTAACTCGTATAGAAGCTAGTCAAGATGATGCAAAGAGAGCACCGCTTTTGTCCTCCTGGCTCTGGCCTTTATTCCGAAAAGAAAAAACCATCGAAACAACACTGTGAAACGAAACTGGTATACGTATACACCGATACTACAAAACTACTGGTACTACTGGCCCTTAATTTGGTCCTGCGGTCCGTCCTCGATTATCCAATATCTGCAATCCACCTATACCTGCACACCTTTTGTTCTACGAATATACATAAGGGCATGACACACGTATTCTGGCAACCAAGTCAGTCGTCAATGCCGCCATCGTTACCTTCTCGATTTGTCATTGCCGTCGAGAAGTTAGTACCTCTGTACTGGTACACTCTGGTGCCATAATCCTCTCCCTAATTGCGCTGATATTTAGCGCAATCCATCCGGCGTGCCTGTACGCCTGCCTGCCTGCGAAACGGAAGCAATCTTCCGATTTCCTCGTTCTGGCACCACATTCCGCTCAACTCGATAGATCGATCGCCCTATACCGAGTATCGCAGCCGTACTGCTCAGAGATGGGATGATCATACTGTGATGCTCTACTCAGTCAAGCTAGCCCATGAAGGATTTTCACTCAGCGCCGTTCTCCGGGACGGGTCACGTCGCATGACGCCGAGAGGCGTTTTTCTCACTCAACTAAGCACTGCCGCTGCAAATTTTCTCTCACTTTACTTTTCTCTGTTCGCATACTTTCAACTGTGAAGCCAATCGTGTGTAGTTACGTTGTCATAGCGCCTAGCTGATTATTCAGACTACTGCAAACTCGGCATTACATAGAAAACTGGCTATCACCACTGCCGCCGCCGATAACGGTGGTGGTGTTACACTCGTGTTTATTCTGTCCATTACTCTATTCACCCAATAACTTGCTAATCAATCAACCAGCGACAGCAGCAGCGGTACCTTATATCGAAGCACCTGGTACTCCAATAAACCTGATTCTAAACTCGTCGATCTTCCTTTGCTTAACGAAACGTAAATTCTTGATTATGAACTGATCTATTGTAGCCCGTGGTTGTACCCGGCTTGCAATCAGCAGCTAGTACTAGTGGTATAGTCGCATATCGCTGCACTTTTAGGACTGTAAATATACGTACAAATGGGCACGCCTAAGAGTCCCACTGCGAAAACAATTGCGTTTCCAGCGAGCTTCATGCGTTCCAATGAGCTTCCAGCGAGCGTAGCCTCTGACGTAGAAAAAGCTTCGGAAACTTCCCATGATGCACATACACACACACACACACGCACGCACGCATACATACACACACAAACACAAATATATCAGTCGGCAGGCACTAAATCTCACACAATATCACGATATCAGCCTGCGATGGGTAATGGGCTTGACTGAACGTCATACGTAAATCGACGCACACACACGGCACATGCATATGTGTGCATTTGAATATGATGATACTGTAAGTTTGATCTTTCCAGTCCACAGAAAGATAATAAGCTTGCGTGCGGTCAACGGAATCTGCTGAATTTCATCTATGCTGACCTTATTACTAAAATACCCTCTTGATCTATACTTACAACGATAATATTTTATATGTAATTGTAATGCGACTATCCGTCTTGTACTCTGCCACTTCGGTATTGTTATAATGACAGGTCGTTGCATGTCGTTGTTGCCGTCGTCGTTGTTGTTCGTTGACGGTGTGCCCTTTTCCTTGGTGGTCCGTCCCTTTCCTCAGCCTAACGTTTCGCACACAGCCCGGCCGGTCCAGGCCAACTCAACGTTAGATAAATGGAAGACAGACGATAGACACCCAATCAAATGCTGGCGACAGCGGCGCCGCTGGCGGCGGCGATGGCAATGCAGTCGTATGTGCGGGCGGCACGGTACGATATCCTTCCTTCCAATTCAGTGTGATGATGTCCGCTGCTCGTACGCGCCCGTCCTCTTTCTCACTGGCCAACGATCGCTGCTGCTCGTATATGCGTCGTTGTCACCCGCTTTAGATGTTAGGCCGCTGGTTACCGATGGTTTACCATCACGATCATCGTCAGCATGAGCATCACCATCATCGTTACTATGGCCTTATCTCCCCGTCCCCGCGACGGGCAACACGAGCGACGACCTGTCGTTGTTGCTCGCAACCGCCACCTTCGCTATGAACAGCGGCTAACGCTCGTAAGTGCGCAGTATTTCGATTCCTCACTGCTATTCCTCCTCTCCACCTTCCGAGCCACAGCCAGTCGGACAGCCGAGCTGGGCTCGTGAGCAGCACTATTTGAACTGCTGCGCATACCGCCACCGCATTGACGACGACAACAACTGGCGCATATACAGCCGTTGTACCCTCGGCCACCTCCGCCCTGCTGCAGAATCAAGGATCATCACTTGCGCGGTTAGCACGGGAGTTATACATTAGCTCTGCAACCGTTGATAGGAAAAGGGACAGCCAAGTCGGTGTACAGGCAGACGCGCACCACGTAGAGAGCACACACATAGTAACACTGATGCAGTGACTTCCACGGCTAGTGCCGCGACGATGCTTCCGACTTAGCGGCCCGAGCGGCATCGACAACCGAGTGGCCACCGATCAGATCGCTACTACTGTGATTATTATTCAAGTGGCAGAATATGAGCTGTCGATGTTAGTTTACAGATCCGTTGGACAGATCTCGTTCGTGATCGTCCGAAGGATGATGCTTCGATGGGCGGCAGTGTGACACTGTCGAGGCACCGTCATCAGCACGACTAATAACAGCAGCTGCAACTTCTCGTCGGTGGCGATTCCCGCAAGGGTACAATGAATAGTAACATTAGCGAAGTTTATCTTCGCTCGCCGCTGGTTACCTTGGTCGTGCGGCCACCGTCATCGTCATCGTCATCGTCGTTGACAGCGGCGGCAGCGGCGACGACGAGGGTGGTGGTGGTGTTGCTGGCGTTAATGACAGTGGAGGTGATAACAATGCTGGTCCGGTGGTCTTCGCTCTCGACTTTCGTTTCTGGCAATTTGTCTATAACTGGCAGCCTTCGGAAGTTGACGTGGTCAATTATTGGCGCGATGACGCTTTTTTGTCCTCGTGCACCGGTCCTGTTCCTCTTTTAAGCACCATGAAAAAGCAGAGGTTGAAATGGGATTGGATGCTAATACCAATGTGCTAATCAAGCCGTAAAGATTTAATAAATGGAAGGCAAGACAGCCTCCTCGACTCGGGGTATAAGTAAACTGCTCTATGCTACGTACACTCATGGTATTGTCCGACAATTTCCTGCTGATCCCGCATCACACAGGCTTATTTACCTTTTGTCCCTTCGTACTTGGGGCTTCGCTTCGCTTCGCTTCCTCATCGTCTTTACGCACAGCAGGCTCCAACGGCAATAGGGATCTCGTCGTATACAACAAGCACCCTCGCTCTCTTGCCAGCAAAGAGAACAATTGTTGACTCTTACTAAAAATCGACGGCAAACTCTGTGGGTTATTGCAGCTTGCATTCTTCTGTAATGCCTAGTCTACTTTGATGAAAGACGCCAACAATTGTCCCGCGTTCAGGTTTCCGATTGAAGTGACCCCTCGAGTTGTCCTCATGTTGCTCGAGCCAATATTTAGCGTTTTCCCGCAACCCTTGTACATCTCCCACGTCGTATCTCTTGTTAAGAGAAAGTTACCACATTCATGCACCGATACGACATGGAGTTCTTCGGCCCTTATGTTTTTCAGGGGATAGTGGCCGATGGCTTAATGATCCTTTCTCCTCACCACTGCTGTTTCTTTTCCCCGCTTGGTAATTTATCGAGGATCCCCTTACCTATCTGGCGGCTTGCATCATTCGTTCGTTTAGTTTTTTCCTCTCTTTTTGCTATAATTTTTCGAGTGACTGCCTTGTTTCGATTCTTCTGTTTAGAGCTAGTTTAGTTGTTGTCGGTTCGGTGCCCTATCCGCTGGCTGTTATAGGACGCCTGACAGAGCGACTTCTGCCGCACTGACTAACAAACTATGATCTGCTACGCCGATGACATCGTGCTCGCCGCTGCCATTTCCAAAACGGCCTGTTGCTACATATATCATTGTTGTTGTTTGTCCACAGTAGTACAAGTGCAGCTACTCCGGATACAACGAATACCTGTTCGGCTGTTGTTTGGAGGTTGTGTGTGTGTTTGGCGTATGAGCGTCCGACATAAGAATTGCAATGGCCGAAGGAAACGCAGCGGTAAGCAACTCAACGCCAGCATCTATGCCACCGGTGGTACTAGACGTGCCACCGGTGGCATAGATGCTGGCATGAAACTGCAGCTATTGAGGACATTGGCCTAACCTCGCTGCGAACCAGCGCGCTCCTTGGCATTCACTCCGACAGCTAGTTGCTTCTGCTGCTGGTGGTAGCAACAGCAGCAGCAGCCGCAGCATGGGTTCTCTACTATGTGGATAGCGTTCCGGATGGACCAACAACAACTTCAATGGCGGTAACAGCTGCAGCAACAGCAGCAGATACTAACATCCGTCTTCATACTCAACATCAGTGGGGATGCTGAACGAGTGGCGTCGAGTGACGTTGATCCAGCCGGGGGCGCTGAGCTAAGCTGAGAGCTGGCTGGCCACATAAAGCTGCGTTGTGCATGGTATATTGGAAACGCATCTACAAACCTCAAGGGGAACTTGGAAGTGTTCGTGGTTACGTTGTAAGAGGCAATGCTGATGCGGCAGCCATCAAAGTAAGTGCGGCTGCTTCTGGTTTCAAGTTGCCTGCCTATGTATACATGTATAATACGAATACACCAGCGACTTCATGTTAGATCACGAGTGCATTTGCAGCAACGTAGACGTATGCTAATGCCAAGCTACGCTATTCTACAGTGCTGTCTATGCATACTGTTTCTCGCCTTAATATATTTTCACTAAATAACAGCTACAGGGACGGCGTCAATGCACAAGCGCCTACTTGTTTTTTCTCCTGCAAAAAGCGACCGGAGGCGAATGGACGGGCGAAGTCCCCACGAAACTCGTCCGTTCGTCCAACGATTGCCGCTATTTTGCCGATGGGCTTCCCGTATCTGACTCTGTCACTGCCCGCTTCTGTTTGAAGCAATAACAGTGAGTGGTGCTACTGCCGCCGGCGTTTTCACGGCCGTCGCGACAGCCATAGCTCAACGCTCCGAACAGGGTAACTACTGCACGATAGACAGATAAACAGACAAGAACGACAGTCGGAAAATCGCGCGGCCGCGGCCACAGCAATAAAAGCAACGACTTCAGGGCGTACCAGACTTGAGAGGCTGATGCTGCTGCTGCTGCTGCCGCCCCTGGCGACGGTGCGTGGAGGAGATGAAAAACGCAGAGCCAGAAAGCAGCAACAGCAAACGCTAAGCAGACAGGCAGGTAGCACTAGGACGAGACAGCAAAACTTCAGTTAGTCCACCATACAACGGCAAGCAGAAGTCATAACGGGGTGCGTTAACACCATGACGCTGACAAGAGTGAGTGCACGACGAAGTCAGGAATAAGGCATGGGCAGGATCGAGCAATACAAGTGAATAGGAAAGGGCAAGGCACGGCAGCACGCCAAGCACGCCGCCGGCTTTCCTGCTGCTATTAGTGATGGTAATGGTGGCGCTAGTGTTGTAGGCTAAGTCACGAACGATAAACCAGTCAAGTCGGTTGGCATTGACGACCACTGCGGCTGCTGCTGGCCAGGCCGCGTCACCGTGAGTGCCCGCGCACCAGGAGCGCAGCCGAATCCTTTTCCTTCTCTGCTCCGGTTATGTGCGGCGGCTGCATTAAGAGCAGCAGCAGCAACAGCACATAATCGAACGAAACGACCAGGCAGTAAGCGGAGAGTCGACCCAATCCGACCCAGCCGGCGGTTGTCAGACATGATCAGGATAGAAGAATGGCGCTCAGCTGGGGCTGGCTGGCTGGCTGGCTGCAGCAGCAGCAGCAGCTGGGTAGCGGCAGTTCGAACGAGAAAGAGAGAAACCAGCCCTGTTCTGCAGTTCAGTTTAATACTGCAATAAGTTAATGTATCGTCGTTGCCACCGCCACCGCTGTAGGAGTAGTAACGTCTGTCTCGTCTACGTTCCTTTCCTGTAATGTTCGCCTGTTGCCTGTGAGTGGCAAAGCGGAGCGCCGAACGGGAGAAGCAAGCGCGACTACTCACAGCCTTTAGCACACGACCACGCCATCAAGCCAAAAAAAGAAGAATAAACAGGCAATGAACGGAAGAGAACGAGGAGCAGCAGTAACAACAGGAGCAGCATCTCTACTATGAAAGAAAAAAAGGACAGCGTAGTTGCCGCCGCTGCGCGACGACGACCCGGCACAACCAGAAGACAACAACAAGCAGTCAGCATAAGCCCAGTCAAAGCGCTGTTGCTGTTTTCGGAAAACGCCGCTAATGCCATCTTTGCTCCTGCTGCCAAACGTAAGTCGTCGTTGTCGTTGTTATTTTTGTTCATCGTTTGGCGCAAGCCAGCCACGACCGTCGACTGTCGAGGTAGCGGCTGGTCGGTTGGTCAAGTGAGCGACCGGCTGAGGCGGCGTACTAGGGAACGCCAATGCAGACCCAGGCACAGAGCAACAACTAGCGACTGCCGCGGCTACGTCATCGGCGAGGGTTGACCTGCGCTGCTACAGGGACACCGTGGGTGGATAAAATGGAAGCAGCAGCAGCAAAAGCCATGATGATGCTGATAGTTGTAGGCCCTTGGCTGTTCGGTTCGACAGTCGGGTCCCCTTCGATGAAACAGCCTCCCCTTTCCACTCTATGGCCTAAACTGTGACAGCCACAGCAACTCACGGCCACCGTAGCAACGGCGGAATAACAGCGCTCACCGAACTACGACGACGACGACTAACTGAGGACGGACAGCGCAGTTCTGCGAGAGAGAGCTCGTCTTTTTCACTGCTCCTATCACGACGCTATGAGCTAGTTGCCTGCGCTGGTGGCGGCGCTGGCGGGCGCTACCAAATCAGCGAACGCTGCCGCTCTGACTGGGTCGAGTTGGCTTGGCTGGCTGGGGAGCCGTGGCAATAACCGGTGCTCGCGGCACCCAGCAGCTGCCGATCTACGTCAACAGGGCAGACAACAGAAAAAGGAGGCTTGCCTGCCTGCCTGCCTGACCGACCGACCGACCGTCCGCCCGGCTTTGCTGCGGCTGTGGAATGATGTTGGATGGCACACCAGTATCAACAAGAGCAGACAACGGCCGTCGTTGTCCACAGGCACTTGCGGCTGTGCTTGCCACAGCGCGCATCCCGACGATCACACAAGATGGCGATGATGATTGTATAGTCGTTGTTGATTACGATGCTGATGATGGTTGTCATGATAATCATCGTAGCGTTGACGCCGATGTTGGCGGTCACACCGATAGCGCATCAGCGCTATCAGACGAGTTATAAAAATTGTTGGCGTTATTGTTGTTGTTTTTGTTGTGCTTGTGGCCGTGGCAGTAGGAGTAACCGATAGATAGACGGATAACTAGATAGGGCTATAGACGGAGAAACAAGCAAACAAACACAGACAGACAGATGTAGAGAGAGAGAGAGGGGGCAGGAGCGGAAGGCGAAGCAGCAGAAACCGACCAAGATGCGATGGACGAATGGACGCCCTCTGGCTCTATTTATACTGTTGCCGTGCTAAGCGAATAGTGCAGGACCGTTCGTAGCTCAGAGACAAGGTAACTATTACCCCTACGGACTCCGTTGCCATATAGAGGCATGCCAGGACTGGCCGGCAAACAGGCCATAAGTAAGGGTCATTGGCGGAGACAATCGCTTGCTGCGCAAGTTACTACGAGTAAGAGAGAATCAAGAACGCCACACATACGAATAGCTAGACAAAAGCGCGTATACAAAAAGGCTCAAATAGATCGCCGCGAATATACGTGTACATATATAGAGAAAGAGGTTCTCCACGGCTAGGAAGTGTTCATGGGGCCATGACATGCGTGTGCCAATGACTGACTGACTAACAGATAGACTCCAGTATGAAGAGCTGGGCTAGAACGAGATCGTCTAAGAAAACTTTGACTAACAGAGGAGCTCCCAGTTGGGTATACAGGCTAACAAAGTCGCGTTCGATCGTTGGTCCAGAGAACCGGATTGCAATTGGTTATGCCTATTTGGTTAACCCTTTGTCGTCGGTCTTTTAGTAAAAATACGATACTGCTACATAACGCTTAACACATTCATACAGGCATTATACTGTACATGCTAAATACAGGCTTCGGGGACCGGTGCCGGACGCACAAAGACCATCCATAGCCGACTGGTCGTGCTACGGCTGTAGCTCCCGCATTAAACGGCGCAACCCAGCACGCAGAAACGCAGTGCAGCAAACGCATAATACACAGACAGATGAGTAGAAAAGCAGACGAAGCGCTTAGTAGTGTGTTCCCAGAAGATTCACATTTCCGTGCCCATGTCCCAACACGAGTCGCAGCCGCCTCTACAAAGTCCTACTGCCCCCAGGAACGTCTATCTAATACAGCTGCTGTTGCTTCTACTATAATAGTATTGTACTAATAAAACGACTATCTTTGTAGGAGGAGGAGAACCAGCAAGCCACCCAGCCTAATGCGACGCCTGCAAATATTAGTCGTACGACTACTAAATCCTTTATGCGTCGTGCCCTAACTTCTGAAGCGTTATCTTACTGGGTATAGTATGCTACATAAAGTAAACGCTCGTGAGTGAGCGAGGAGCTTCACGAGAGACGGAAGAGGCCAATGCGCTATGCTGTGTGTCTCTGTTAGCGTGCGTGCGTGCGTGCGTGTGTGTGTGTGTGTGTGTGTGTGTGTATGTGTGTGTGTGTGCTCGCCGTATGGAAGATGCGGTCTGCTAGTGGGCAACCTGAACAAGGCGAGAGCAGAGGAGAAGCTGCCGTAATCGTTATCGTCGTCACCGTCACTGCTGCTGCTGCTCGGCCGGCCGGCCGGCCGTTCGTTCGTTCGTTCGTTCGTCCGTCCGTCCGTCCGTCCATCCGTCCAGACGCACGCCCTTGCTTGTCTTCCATCCTACTACCCACACAGCTACACACAGGTATACTCACAAGAGACGCGCACAATGCCGACGATTGCGGTAGTGGTAGCTGCGCCAATAGCGACTGCGGCTCTACGCTGAAGAATCCAAGAAAAGAGCAGGCAACCAAGCAAGCAGTAACCCAATGGCCGCCTCAGAACTCAGCACGATGGATAAGGTCAGCGACTTCAGGACGACGATGCTATCGCGGTGCGGAGCTTTAGCTGTTGCCGCAGATGCTGTCCGTGCAACAAGATCAGGGCCCGAGCAGGTTGATAGAGAGGGTAGAAAAACTGCACATAACGATGCTACGGCCGCTGCTGGCAAAGGCAGCGATAGCGGCCGCAGCGGCGGATGTACGAGGGCCGCTGACGGAATAACGCAACTAAAACAGCGGCCAGCCAGCCATAAAGGATCGCCAGGAAAGGATAAAAGGAGCAGATAAAGGCGAAGACGAGAAGAACAAGGCTCAGCTCGGCCCAAACATAATCATGATCATCATAAACAGCAGTTAAACCGACAAACCCAGGGCAGTACCATTTCAACAAAGCCAAGTGAACCAAGCTGGTCCTGCCGCTGAGAACAGAGTAGCTGCTGCCATCGCTCTGCAGCGTTGAGCTCTGTGCTGCGTCAAGTGTCAAATCCAAGCCGAACGCTTGCTGTCTTCGACCGTCACCACCAGCACAGAAAAACTCCGGACATAGAGACAACGGAAACACGCAAACGAGAGGCTGAAGACACAGCGGCGAGTCAGGGAGCAATGACCAAACCTGTCCTCTTTTTTTTTGTCTGTTCATGAAGACTTGGTCGGCCAGATGACTTTGCCTGCAGTCGCACACCACAAGGCGGCCCCGTCCCTGCACTTGCGCACATAAGCGCAGATGTGCACATATGTTTAGAAATGTGTATGTGTCTGGACAAGCTCTTTGCTACACATAACTTTCTCTCCTGTTCTATAAAGTTATATTTGTTAACATGTCAACCCATTGAAATATTGCCTTATTCTGCATCGCGAGTTGTTGTACGTTAACAGGCAATTGATGCTGTGGATTGGGTAAAGGGATTCAGGAGACAGACTTTCGGCTCAGTGACGTAAATGACTCCAGTAGCAGTCTAATATCGATGATTCAATGTACATACATGCCTTTTCGTAAAAGCTAACACATGTTAACTGACTCATATGCCGTACCGTAGAGCTAGCCAATCGCTGTTGTTTGGAGTGCACTTAACTAGAACTTGTTCCGATTATTGTTCGCAGTTATTTAGCATCTCTCTTAACTTACTGACCATAGCTAACGCCGCATGGCATTAATCGCATGAATCGTCTAGTTTTTATAGCGTTTTGTTCAGCCGTTGCCGGAACAGCCTATCCCGTATATGCTAGATTTTTTACGCTAAGTCACAGCGACTACTGTTTGCACGATAAGTAGGTAACTTATTATCTAATGCTGAACAACTAGAAACGGCCCACACAGCCTAATATATGCATAACGATAAAATTTTGCACTTCGACAAGCATCTAGTTTGCTATAATGTCCGCCTATATTAATAGAACAATAAACACGTATGTATAGGTGTATATAATAGTAGCAACAATAATCACTCTAATTCTGCTTTAAGACGTTCTAAATTATAAGCAAACCACTTTGGGAGCGGATTCCAGCTGAGCAGGAGACCCAATTACGTTTGCAAGCGTCATTTCCATAACAGCTTTCGCCCTCCAACAGGTGACAGGAATTTTGACGCGTGCGGCCGTCTAGCATAATGTTCGGAACACCCGTGTTGCAGGCCACTGGTGCGACGACGTTGGCGAGGGTAACAACAGCGTAAAGCAAATCAGGCAGCTCCTCTCTTTAGCCTTGTAACAAAAAGACCCGATCCTTTTTTTACCTTGGTTGTAGTGAAGCAATTGCCTGCGACGAATTTGTCGCGACCACAGATTGCAGGTATATTCGTAACTTTAGCAACACAGTTGACAGGGGCCGGAGTGGGCATAAATATGGTGAATCTAAGAGGCCTATATATATATATATATATATATATATATATATACGTTTTTACTTGTTTGCGGCGCAACAGCCGCCGGCGCTACTGTGGCAGTGATAGGCGCAAGGGACAAGGCTTTGCCACCGACGACCGATCAGCCGAGTGACAGCGAACGCCTGATACACGCCGATGGCTGTCGATGGCTCAGTTTGTGGTCAGACACAGTCAGCATTGATGATGATGCCGCGGTTTGCTGCGTGGCTAGCGATCGCGACGGACGCTGCTTCTACGATGCCATCACTAGGAGATGAACAGAGAAGTAGCGCAGTGAGCAAGCGAGATTGGGTTCGTTTGCGCTTCAAAGCCGATAGCGCCAGCCTGTACAAGTGAGCAAGCAGCCAGCTCTCGTAACCTGGTGTGTTGCTACAGAGGATGACAGCACGCACGAGTTGTGTCGCCATGGCGTTGGTAGCAGTCTTGATGCTTCTGCGAGGAGGCACTGTGTACACTATCCCAATGGTGTCGATACAGTCAGCCAAGGAAATGACGATGCCTTGGCTCGTTCTCTGGAAGTCCGGAAGGTGCTGATCTGCGGTGCGCGCGCATACACCACATCCACTAGGATACGAGAGACGCGCAAGCGCACGAATCATCGTTGTAGTAGTATTAAAAGAACACACAGCGTGCTGCAGCCGGACAAGCAAAATAAATCGACGAGGTAACAACAACTCTAATCGGGGAGGAAAATGAAGCGAGCCACGCACAGATAGTACGATCAGGATGGCGCCGGCAAGAAGACCCGAACGTCGGACAACTAGCGGGAACGGCTTTAGCCGACCACAGCCACGAAAATGGAAGATGAGTTTAACTGCAGCAACAGCTGAAGCCAAAAGACGTTAAAGCAGCAGCCACAGAGGTAGTTGGGACGTTGGCGTCGGTGGTGATGCGTTCATCTCGCAGCATTCCACACTTATTACATAGAACAGGCGAGTAAGCAATGGAACAAGTCGATGATAGAGGTCTCTAATCAAGCGGTCCATACTCCCAAAAAGGTCCAGCTATACGCAGGTCACCGCTATTCATATAAGTGAGGTAGACAGACAGAACAGACGGCTTATTAGACAAAATTAGGTAGTTGGAATAATTCTTTATCCGACACCACCGTCGTTCTCGGCATCGATCTTGCTGTTGCTATTCGCTTGTTGTCTGATCCTTTTTACCAGAAGAGCAATGCTCGCTCGAAAGCGCGAGCGCGCGCGCGCAGCAGCAACCGGCAGGGCTTGGACGAGCGGGAGAGGGCCTGTTCTAGGCGCTTAAGCATGACGCATACACATATACACATGCGTTGGGTTCGAAAAACGGTAGCAGATTCTAGCAAAACCAACCATACCGCCATGTACCGTGAGGAGGGATAAGAGATGACTTGCCGAAAGGCTGACAAGCAGGCAGAAATTAGGACTTCTACTACAAAACCTCTGCATGAGACTGTCCCTGTGGTTCATTTTTTGGGGGGGGGGGGAACCAGAAACGTAGGAAATAACCGAACCCTTGGCTGATCATTCTTTTTCTTCTTCATGCTCGTCGACTTCAACGAAGCTCCCGTTGACGATGTATACAGAGATCTGCTGATATTTGGGTATACGCATGCGTTAGTCTGCTGGGGTCATGGAGCAATTGACCAACGGATGGCCGCCTAACCCATTCATCGCTGTTAATCGAGGCTTTCCGAACCCAGCAACTAGATGCTGCCCAATGGTACACGAAAACAGCGGTTATCAAGCTAGACATACGAAAACATGCGGTCTCCTGGCGCTAGCTGTAACCGCTACGGCGCTACATCAACGCTGCCACTAGCAGAAATTATAGTAATACACCAGTTCCATCGTCTGCTAGTTGCACCGGCTGCATTAATCACAGCGTATATATAACAACATAGTGTAGCCAAGATAACAACCGGCGTATCCCCGCCAACTAGCCACTAGGTTTTCGCTTACTTCAGGCTTGCTTTACGGACGTGCGCGATCATCTAGCTATCCTCCACGTCCTGGTGCATTCGTTTGTTGTTAACATTGTCACCATCGTCACCATTATCATTGTACGACTAAGAAGAGGCAGTCATAGAGACCGGCGTCGTTGAGCGGTCGCTTGCTCGGTTTTTCTATCACTCTGCGCGGAGTTGTAGTAAAAGAAAGAAGCGCAGTGGCGGTACCACAGAGCGCGCATGCAGCTATCAACCGTTTCTTTAGGTGGCGTTAGTCCGCATGAGACAAGGACCAAGTATCAAGTTCGCTTACCATTGCTAGAACATACTTACTCCGCAAAAGTAGCGATACCTACTACCTACCGATATTAGCACTAGTGTACGACAGAGAGCGCTGAGCAGCCTGGAAGTCGTAGTCGCAGCGGCGGCGCAACAGAAGCATCATCAGCAACACGGTGCCGTATGCTACCATCATCCCTCCGCCTGCTAGCCCTATGGCATTCCGGCCATTAACGACGTCGTCCTCAACAATAGCATGAGTCTCACATCACCATCCGTAACGCCAATCCGGCCATCGGCGATGGTTCCTGCCTGCCTGCCTGCCTGGCGCTCGTTGCCGTCCTCCCTCGTGTGGCCTTCGAGCTCAATCAACTAGTGAGTTAGTAAGCTAGCCATGCAGCCTGCGAGTTACCCGGATAGTAGCAGTCAGCCTCTCCTTGCTGCGCAGGAGGCGGCCGACCGCCGTCGTTGCCACTGTACTGCCTCCATTGGTGCCAGTAAACCAGGCTGTGGCAGGCAGAGAGAAAGGCAGACAGGCACCAGCAGCGCGCACGAGCAAGCGACCAAGCCGGGTTGCCTGCTCTACAGTAGCGCCAAAGAGCGCACCATTAGAGCTGTCGTTATTGCTGATGCTGTTGGCGGTAATAATGACGGTGATGGAAGTGATGATGTGTGCTGATGCGGGCACCGTGCCAGTGATCCTGACGGTAGCGGCAGGCATTAGCCGTCGACAGCAGTGAGCCTTTCTTCCCGCCGCCTTCTTTGCTTGCCTTTTTAGTAATAATATTAATAAGGTGATGCCTGCTACTAGAACTGCCGGTGCTGCTGCAACTGCTACATCTGCTATAACTAATACGAACACCGCTGAACTGTAGCAATTCTGCGACGGCAACTGGGCCGCTCACTTTCCAGGAGTCCTATACGGCGAGTACGCATGTACTGGTGGTATGTAGAAAGCCATCAGTGCCAGTATACTACACCCAGTGACGGACGGACAACGATTACGGACGCATACGGACTCAGTTAGACAAGCATACAGATACAAACAAAGATAGCAAGCCAGCGTCGGCAGCGCTGTTGGCGAGATCCAACTAACCCAATGGCGATGGCAGTGTCGCCAACGCCACTAGCCTCCATAACGGCCGACAACGGGAAACGGTGGTGCAGGTGGTGATGGTGCTGCCGCGAATGGCTTCCCGCCGGTCGCTCGTCGCTCATGATCACCGGCAGCACCAAGGGACTGTACTAAGTACACAATCAGCTGCTACATACTTAACGTCAGGGACAGTACAGCTTAATCTTAGAAGAAGGATAGGGCACAGTGGTCATGAGCCGCTGGTGGCGGTTACAGCGCCGCAGTCACGCTACTACGTTGAAGTTGTCGCTGCGGCATTCCTTCATGCTCTCCATCTGTCCCGCTCTTGCTCATCATTCGGTACATTTCTCTCAGTCATAATTGTGTGGGACACGGTAATGCATTTGAAAGGAGTGCGATGATAAAAAGTAAGAAAAACCTCCAACGAATCTCCTATCGAATTTCTCCATTCGACACCGAGAACGAATAGAGAAGCGCAGGTTCCTTCAAATAGAAGAAGGGCAACCAAACGTTTGGTAACTGCTATACAGTTGACTCTGCTGCCGCTTCTTGATCGAGGTTGATATGTTTCCATTTAGAATAAATATGAGGCCACGGAGAGACACGTGTACAAAAGCTGAGGTGACTCTCTTTATTCAAAAAGTCAAAAATATCTACGAAAATAAAATACTAAAAAACTAGGATAGCCAGTTACGTGCAACCCTTCGCAGGTACATATTCTTACTGTTTTAACCGTCCTGATGAGAACTGAGTTCACTAAACTTTATCAAAACGGCCAAAGAGCTGAAAGGCGAACAGACTGCATTTGACGATCGCAGACAAGAAGGGAACTGATCTTTTAGCACATTGGAATAGCAGCTACGATGACTCCCTTAAGAAATCCCATCCCAAAGCAATCTCTTCCCGACAGGAACCAATGAACATCTGCCGGTATGCAGGGGCCCCCGCGCTCCAACGGGCTTAGGCCCCTACAACCAACAGAGCAAGAAACCTGACCACGGGTTTCAGAAAAAGGCCAAAGTTGCTTCTAAGATTCTCAGACCCTGGAAGAGCCGCGTCTTCTCCGGAGCTATTCTGAGCATCCCTTTGTAACAGAACGCATTTGGTCCTGCTCTTAGTCTCCCTCGTTCATCTCCCTTGAGAGGCTCTAACGGCCAAGAACCCGTTTGTTGCCTGAAGAGGACTGCCACCATTCAACCCATACGATCATCTACAGCTTTAGGGATCTTTACATCCTACTGGAAGATAGGCCGGTCCAAGCTAACGTCGACGACCCTGACGGATTTAGCACATCACCTACGCCGACATTCACCTATAGGCGGAGTTGCTGGAGCCAAAGGCAACACAACTACGCTCTTCACCCCAGGGTTATTCTTTCCCTGTTCATGGATGGAGTTGCCACTTTGAAGGAGCAGTCTACAGCCATCAGATGGCTAGGCTGTTCATCTTTCTAGGAATGATCGCGAATGCTTGGCGCACTATTCCCTCGTGCACTGCGACGATTGGCTACTATATAATAATATACGACGGCCATTACACTGCAGCCAGCGTCGATCGCTTCTGTCTGCCAGTGGCGACTACCATTCTTTTCCGACAGGGGGCCTTTCCTATTCTTACTCCTTGCTTTATTTGAGCGTTGGTTAAGGTTCGTCACTGGATCGTAAACTACTACAGTTAGCCCTGCTTGCAGAAG